CCACGAGAGTTGTCAATGCTGTTGTTCAGGTTATTTTCATGGATTTACCTTTTATACATAATAATATATGAATGTTTGTATGTATCTCAAAGTTTGTAAGTGGTTAGATAACATGGTGGTACATATGATTAACGGAAGCTACGGGAAGAACATATCATCTACCGGTTGGGCTGCTTGCAGCCGGATAGACTCATTGTCACTTTTCCAGTTTTTGACTTTTGTGTTATATCTTCGCCTTTTCTGTCTTTCCATTCTTTCTCTCTCAATCTTTTTTTTTATTCTTCTCTCTTTCGCTCTGTTTCTGTATGTTTTCCTTCCACTTTAGTGACCTGTGTATTCTCTCCATGTGACGTAATTATTCGTGCTCTCCCCCCCCCCCCCTCTCTCTCTCTCTCTGTGCACCTCCGCAGATTTTATGGGGATAGGATGCGCATATTTTTACGCACAATAATTATAGATAAAGACCAGTAATGGTCATGCGATGCGAGTGAAACAAACGTTGTGGAATCGATCAGAAAAGGTTGATCATCTAGCATATAAGTATTGGTGAGTACTGCAAGGTTCTCATATTGCTCCGATTGTCTCATTTTCGCTCGCGTGAACATTGCCAGCACAAACCACTGACCGCTACCTCCTACACGGATCATCGTACATTCCCATTCACTATACGTTACGTACTAAAAGGCTGTATTGTCTGACCGTTCATGAATATTCATGTTTTTGCTAAACTCGGCAAAATGTTTGCTATTACTAAATGGAAAAATTACGGTGGGGGGTTGGATGAAATGGACAAAACGAAATAGGCAGAAGTGATCTATGATAATTCATGCTTTTTATGTTTCGTGTGCTCGACCTATAATCTTCAAATCGCTTGGTAAACTGAGTCCAAAGTTAGACTTGTTTCACATGTGTATTATAGGCAATGACGAGCTTGCAACCTATTTTGAAAAATTACGGTGGGTGAACTTTCAAAAGACAATGAGACATGAGGGCTCCAATGAAAGAGCTAGTGATAACGTACGTCGGGGTGGATGTGCTTTTCGTTTAAACAAAAAATGAATTTTTAACGATTTTTTAAAAAACGTCCATAGGCTAACATGTTAGGCTGCTGAATCTGACCATGCTCTGACGATGGGGGGCGTTGTGAAATGAGACTAAACGGAGCTATATGGTAATCATCAAAATGATAATAAATTTGCCCCAGTCTTGGCAATGTTCCAAGCACTATACACAGAAAGGTGTATATGGATTACGCACACGTGCGCGACACGTGCGTTATATCTTTCAGGTCCAAATAAATATAATAATTTACCAAATATATCAATTGGAATTTTGACACAATAAACCGAAATGAATGAAGAAAAAAAATGAATGAATGAATTAGTAGGCGGTTTCTCCGCAAAATTTGTATGATCACGTATATGTATTAGTCAAAACATATTCTTTCATATGATTGGTAATAAGAGCTTCCATTTCATTTTTTGAGAAGGGGGGGGGGGGCGTTTCCAAAACCGGTCTTTACCTTTAAAGTAAAATAAATCATTACTTGACCAAATCCTAAGGGCGAAAATTCGCAAAATAAATTCTTCTTGTACGGAGATCATTATTTTTTGTGTTTTTGCTCATTTTCTCAAACTCCGAGTAAACTCTTGGTAAAGTTACAAGCACTGTACACAGAAAGATGTATATGGGACTACGCACACGTGCGCGACACGTCTATCAGGTTCAAATAAACTCAGAGTAAAACTCAAAACTGTGTGCATGGGTGTGTGTGGTTGACTTTCTTTTTACTTTACCATAATTATACACCATACCCTTTTCTAATTTTCTTTTCTTCTTCTAATTTGTTCAAAAAAGAGTCACACCAAAATACATAATCATACGAAATGTATCATACCTTCTTAGGTTCTCCATATGGGGTGACGCCCCCATGGTGGTAACGATGACTGTAGCCTCCTCCCAGATTATCACGGACATTGATGATCATTCCTTCATCACCATAGCAACACTCCTGTCCCCCTCCTAGTGTGCTGTAAAAACAAAGGATAAGTAGACATTTACTTTTTTCCACGATATCCATCTTAAAATCTATACATATCTTGTCATTTCTAACACTTTGATAAGTATAAATTGAAATTGTAATAAGTGTTGCCGTATATAAAAAGTAAAATAAGTTGAATATCAAAGATCGTAGAGCAACTCTTCAGCCAGAGGATAAATGACTATTCGGTAGTATGCGGACTACATATGTGATTTAGATTAGCATGTGGGTTTCCTAAAAAATGACGTCCGGCTGGAATGCTCCAAAGTGGAGTGGAGAGTGTGCACAGTGAAGTACAACATTTTAATTAAATCAAGGTTAATAATATTGTAAGCGCTTCGGCATGTAACGTTTGAACTGGTAAAGTGCTTTATACGGATCGTAATCGGATTCGTAATGATTATTAACAATCACGCCAATAGATTGTGGAGAAGCTAGCTCTTTCATATTAATAATTATAATAAGATACCTAGGCGTGTCTGCTCGTACGCAGTGTATCGCCCCTGGTTTATGGACGCAGTTGCTAGGCGACAAGATGTCAATATCACACAGCGGATGCGGACTAAACCTCCCTATGTCAAGCTGGGCCTGGTCAAGTGTACATGGGCACGGGGGCGAGAAGTCCGAAAAGGGTTCAGACCAAACTTCTTTTAGAATCCAATCATTGCACCGATGTGTTGCGTCATCGCCGTTATACCACTGGAGAACATGGACCTTGCCCTAGACAACAGCACGGGTAGAACTAGAAAAATATAAGAAAATTAAAAATAGGGATCCAAGGAATTATATACTTATATCCCACATTCCAAGAATCCTGCAAAACGGTTGGTCTGAATAAGATCACATGGAAACTGATGAATTGCATTATTTGTGGTGTGATAGTAAACAAATAGGGAATGGCCGTCAGTGCAATGGTGCAAGATTGTGCAGGAGGTGAAAGATAAGAGATTCTTTATCCAACTTAATTTTAATTATTATTACATTAATTATTACATTTATTAAATCCATATGTTTATTAAACGAATTCGTTTTCGCTGGCTGCCTTCCGTAGCAACAAACGGAATTAACAAAAGACTTAACTCCGTTTCGTTGACAATCAGCCGTAGACGAAAGACTTCATGCATGGCTGATTGTCAACGAAACGGAGTTAAGTCTTTTGTCAATTCTGCTTGTTGCTACCGCAGGAACCAGTGAAAACGAATTTGTTTGATAAAATTATGGAAATGCAAGCACTACTTTAAACAAACAGAACTTTGTCATTCCTTGCTCATTTTTCCTGATTGAGGTGTCATATAAAAGGGCAAGAACTCAACTTTCTAGAAATGAGATTTTCTGTTTGAAATTCAGATACCGTCCGCCAAATAACTTTTTGATTTCCTCTCTTCAAATTCATTTTAATCACTCATGCGAGTGTATATGAGTACATATGAGTTGCATAAAATGAAAGAGGGAGATCTCAGCTTTCCCAATATGTGCCATTTATTAAATGTGCCTAAGTTATGATAAAACATCGATAATTCTCGGTTTCGTTTTTAATGGGTCACACTGTATAATAAAGCCCCGCCCCCCCCCCACTCAGTGTTATTTAGGGTACGCATATGCGTGTTCCAACCGACCCCCCCCCCCCCCTTTTCAGCAAAAGTCCGGTGTGTAAAGTCAATACGGCTCGACCTTTTTCTTTTGTATACGAGCCTTTTTGCGCACCCCCCCCCCCCCCCCTTTTCAGCAAAAGTCCGGTGTGTAAAGTCAATACGGCTCGACCTTTTTCTTTTGTTACGAAAAGGACATTTTGGCAACACGCATGCGGTCATTTTGAAACCTGAGTGGGGGGGGGGGGCGGGAATAAAGCATGTTGAATAAAACTAGTCATCTAATTGGTCGAAATTGTAGTCGTGATTTTAGCCATTGTCCGATCATTCGGGGTAACGGTCAATAGTTAATGACAAATATGCCCGCTGCCTCGGGTAACGGGGCCGCATAGTTAAATTTTGCTGATATCCCCATTGGTTAACGTGTCAATAGTTTATCTCTGCGAGCGCGGATACCATACAGTGTGTGTGCGATTCCCGACTGATCGTAACATTAGGGCAACTTTCCAACAAATAATAACAGACAGTGTCTCAGATTATCTGTCATTATGTGGTGTTTTATCCAATCTTTACTCAAGAAAAGGATAATAAGGTGAAAATTCTTTGTAGACTATTTTGTGAAATCGGTATATAAAAGATATATGAACTGCTTTTAATTCGACACATAGCAGTAAAGGGGTCATAGCAGGACGTAACGTCCCCTTAAACCTATAGACACAGCTATGCCTCTCATAGCAGTCAATATATCTATATTATTTTCTTGGCGTGATAGTGAATATTATATCCTGCATCAAATATTTATTGGTTTTTGATTGGTTGAGAGTTCTTTACGTGACCAGAAATATTTCACCCATTTTAAGGTTGTCCTGAAAAAGTGCTGTTTAGGAGTATATTTGGGAGTTGGAAACATAATGATTTTTTTTTTTAATTTTTAAATTTTATTAAAATTCTATAAATTGTTAAATTGTATAAATAAGAATAATATATTTTCTTTTTATGAAGGATACTGGTTAAAACTATGGGTCTCGGTGAACCAAATAGTACTATTGGAGTCACCTATTGCCCATAGTTTCAACCAGGTACTCTCAAGACAGTGTATGTTTGTATGCTATTGAATACATTTATGAAATCTCTTTTTCAGCTGATGCCATAGATATAGACGTTCAGGTTACATGGGCCATTCTGACGCAATTCAATGAGCAGCGTTTTTTTTTTAATGTCCAACAAAGCGCAATCAGAAGGTGGTGCAAACAATGTTATAGTATTTACTATGTTGCACGATTGTTGTGTCCCAATTAATGTCTCCCATCATTGGTTCAAATGATGTTTTTTTTTTAAATTTCAATATTAATCCAAGCATGTCTTTTCTGCCTCTTCTTCTATGTCAAGCTATATCTCGTCTGTCCTTGCTGCCCCGAGATCACATCTGGGAGAATAGTTCATCAGACTTAATTATCAAGAACGATAGATAAACTAAAACTACACTTAAAGTAGAAGATATAAAATTTGATGTAATTCTTACTTTCCCCCTTGACCTTCAGATTCCCTGACCCCAATAACACCGACGTCGAAGTGTAGTTCAGGGTCTAGTAGCCCTGAGACACTGTGGTGACCGAGATGATAGTCAACTCCCTGTGCCACTACGACCAAAGGTCCACTAAACTCCACGTCATTGTCTTCTCGGTAGCCGTAGACAACGATGTCAACCTCGTCTACGCTTTCGAGGGCATCTGTGTCCCACGTGATCTCGAAGTCGGACTCTCTTTGGTTGCTTTCCGTTACCGAAGAAAATACATTGTCAGGAACGTCCTCGACACTGACTAATAAGTACAAAAGAAAAGTAAATCGTCTAGATAATCTGGACATCGGTTCACTGTGACAAAATTATCACAAATACAAGTTCGTCGACATCCTATTGAAACGTCTACATTACAATCAACCCGCGTTCCAATGGGATGTAGGCGAACTCATACTTCTGACAATTTTGTGAATGATGCCCACTCAGGTTCATAAACAATATAACGAGGCAATCTATTTAATCTGTCATACTCACTATGAACATGACGGACAAAGAAAGAGGATATTTACTGTATATTTTGTCCTCTTTCTTTGTCCGTCATGTTCATAGTGACTTGTGCTCAGGTCACTGTCTAGTCTCAACCTCCTAACAAAGAAATTTAAAGCGCTAAAATTCTATGTTTATCTCTTAGCCCTTCACAATAATATATCCAGGCTTAGACTCAAATGATGTTGATATGCTCTGTATATTATGCTTTGTATACGTATATGAATAGCAAACATTTTCCGAGAAAGATGATGAAGACAAATGGAGAGGCAAATAAAATCAAAAAATATTTTGTTGGTTCGAATTAAGATTTATACCATGCACGTAACATTTATTTGTTCATAAACTTTCATTTCAAAGAGCTTTCGGCAAAATGTATTGCAATGTATAACTATAGCACAAGCTAACGATTCTGATCTGATGACAGTACAAGGTGGACATGGTAATAGCATTTTTACAGATTTAAAGACGATGTTTATATTAACTTACTAATTGTGAACAATCCTGTGAAATCGAACGTGACTCCATCGTCTAGAGACACGCGCAAGGGAATCCGTCCAACTTTGTAGAAAGTCGGCGAAACGCAGAGGGCGATCTCGTCTTCCAGAAGTCTTCCAGAAGTCTCGATTCCGTCAAAATCACAGACAATCAGGCTGTTTGCGTTGAAGCACGGTCCGTTGATGAAAACCTGAGTTCCGCCAAGCATTGAACCGACCAATGGGAATAGGGAAACGGCACCTGTCAAGACAAAAGCCAACATATGGTCAATACAGTAGAATAAACAAGGTCGTGACACTATATGAAGCACTTCGGTGTCCATCAGTATTTTCTATCTCGTCATTCATTAAAGATTTTAATGCGGTAGAGTGAGGAGGGCATGCTCGCAAGCACGCATCCACGCTCGCACCACTCACTCACCTACACACCCCCACACAATACCTCGTCATCCGACAAGATTTTGATTTATAAATCAAGATATGACTGCAATATCTGTTAGATATCTACTTATTGACCGGAGTAAAGTGGTTCATTTTAACAATTTCATGATGCGTTACGAAATATTACAAGATACCATGAATTTATCGAAAGAAAAAAAAATATGTTGATGTAAAAAGAAACATTGGAACGATACCTAACTCTAAACAGTTTGTTGTTTATGTGTGGTGTGAAGCATGCAGTCCGAAAGAAAGAACAAAAGTGAATTGTTGGGTCTGAGAGAAACTGTCGTGAAGGTGGTAAGGGTGAGTAGATTGACATGGGAGGGTCATGAGTTGAGAAAAGATGATTGATGGAGATGTCAAAAAGCGTATGACGTGGAAGTGGATGGCATAAGGGCTAAAGGAGGAACGAATATTTCATCGAGAGATAAGGTGAAGAAAGAAAACAGTATGGTTGGTCTTTATGGGGAGGATGCTCGAGACAAGAAAAAGTGGAGAGAAGGAGTATCACCAACACTCTAAAGTTAGTAACCCCTTCTAAGAGGAAATTTATGCTGATGATGATTATCATAGTTACGTCAGCAATTGCGGGAATGGTAATATTGTGTTACACACCGGAGGTAGTACATTCTAGTCCTTCGATATTGGAGTTGTCCGTTCTGAACACCCATCTTCCCGGTACACCGATATTCGATGTCGTTTCGATATCGACGATGGCCGCTGTCTGAGATCCGGGGACACTGTAAAAGTTCACTCCGTCACCAGCGTTGAATCCAACCTAAGATAAGAGTTGAGCATGTCAGCTATGAACACTACTTCCCAACAAACGTACTGTAACTTGATGTGGGAATGACCCGCCCCCTCCCCCCCCCCCCCTACTCCGTGAACGGAGGGATACCATGCGTGTTATTAAAATGTCTGGTAAAGGGGTACTTTTCACGCACCAAAGTCCGGCTCGTACATAAACAAAAAAGACTCTACACACCGGACTTAGGGGGTGTTTTCAAAAGGAGGGAACATGCATATGCGTACCTTAATAACATTGAGGGGCCGGGTGGTATGATTATTGTTTTTATTAGTCTCATTCCATGTCTTTTTGCCCAGTTCGGTGTTGGTGATTCCCCCCCCCCCCCCCAAAGAGTGAAAACATCAGTTGTTTTACCATATATTAGTTGATGAGAAACTAAAATGACTATACTTCTGAATCTAAGCTACTGCAAAACTTTTTTTTCTCTGTTTAGGTGGAAATAGACTAGACGGATTCAGCATTTTCTTGAAATATCGATCGGGTTTTACGCAAGATTTGATTTTTCCTTGTTTTTGAATACTCCTCTCATATTTTTACTACAAAGTGGAGGTCGAGTTAAAAATACAAAAAAGTATATTCACTGTCATGGATACATGCGTCATAGCATTTTTATCGGGTTTTATATTCCAGCAGTGCATCATTATATACACCGAAGCATCACTCCTTGAAGCTATGCGAATGGACAGTTCATTTCTGCCATTCGAATTCCTGATTAACTAAAAGTAAAACAAAAACTAGGAAAAGAATCGTCTAAAACATCCGATGAGACCGACTTCTAAGTGACAATAGACCGAACGGAAAATCACATTACGCCGCATGGTGGAGAATTGATTGGTCTGGACTGGCTTGGAGTCGGTTTGGCGGTGTGACTGATGTACATGAGCACGTTACCATATAAACAATCGTGTCCCTAGTTTATAAGAAGGAGGAGCTACAAACCAAACGACATAATGCATTACCTGAGCTGGGGTACCACCTAGACCAGTATTAGCATCACCTTCATTGTCAGTTCCTGTTGTCCAGTTGATATCACCGTAATTAAAGATGACGAAGGAGTATCGGCCATCTGTCACCATCACAGCCTGAAAGGAATTCCTCTGAAGAAAACGGGTAAAAATACAGAATGGTGAATAAAAGTGGCACGCAATTTTGTGTTTCATTTAGTGAAAAATACAAACAGACCAAAGTATAATATTTATGTAGTATTGTTTACGGGGCCAAATTACATAATTAGTCAAGTTCAATGATTGCTAGAAGGTTTGCATTTGGCTCAAATATCTGCTGTAATTTCTTTATTATGTCACAATTTGGAGGACTGGGAATATCCTCAAATAACTGCAAGACTCCTTAAAATGCCGGGGATTGTGCTTTGGATACCGATCTCGTGAAAAGTAGCAGGGTGATTTATTTTGTTGGTTCACTTTATCACCCTACCATGAAACAGTATCTAAAAAATGATAAGGTGGCGACAGATGATAAATTAATAGGTCCTGTGGCGAACAATCGATTCAGCCATTGTACTCACGTGGGCGGCAGGAGAACTACCGTAGAAAGACATGTTGTCCCAGGTCGCGATGAACATCCATGACGACACAAAATCTCTCATGTCAACGAATGATGCTCTTATAATTCCATCGGCTTCGAGGAATATGCCGTCGTTTTGGGCGAATCGTAAGACTTCTCGATAGGATACATTACCGCCGATCTCTGTGTTAACATCAGCCCAGAATGGTGCCAAAAGGCGTCGGTCAATAGCGAGGGGAAACGGTTCAGGGGTATATTGAGAAAATGTTTCCAAGAACGAGATGAGACCGTTATTGTTGACCTGTACACAATTTATGTGAAAGCGATTGGTAAGACATTTTAGTAGCAAGGAGGAAACATTATAGACAAAATGAGAAGGAAAGCACATATCAAAAGTTGCCAGAAAGGAACGGATACAACTTGAAGGAAAAAGAAGAAAGAACTAGAAATGCAATCGTGTCACAACGATGTGCATGCAATGACGCCATGTTTCTACGTGTCAAACGAAAGAGCTTCTCTCGGACTATCCAGAGCAATTTGTACGAAGTCTGTAGCTTCTGTGATATTGGAGATAGGTAGGGCGAAAGAAAGGCCTCAACAGTGACCTTGATTCATTTCATTTTCATTCATTTTTTATTTTTTCATTTCCAACAAAATATAATACATAATAACGAATACAATGTAAAATGTATACAAAACATATTTACATTTGTAATAAACAAATCTTAAAAATAATTTATACATTTTAGTAAGACAAAAAATGAATTTCAAAATTTAACTGCATTTATATTTTGAGGAAATGGAGAGGTCCACTCAAAAGCAAAGCTTGTAAATTGTGGACCCCTCAGATAATAATGAGTGTGAACAAAATATGGAATACATAATCAATGAAAGAAGAATAGTGGCCAACAGAGAACATTTATTAAAACACGTAATGACTGTAAACAAGAAAACGTAACAAAATAATTACATGACGAAGAAAGAACAGAAAAAGAAGAAGAAAAAAAAGGGAAAAAATGTAGGCTGCGTTTGGAGGGAAGGAGGGGAGAGAAAAGGAAAGTTGTAGAGATCGAGCACGAAATAGCGAGCGCACACAATCCTTGAGATAGCTGATCCCTTGATTGGATGGTAGTGACTATGCCTACGAAGTTTGAAAGAAATTGGGATAGGGGAAAGAACCTAGAAAGGGCTCGCAAGCACTGCGTGCAAAAACCAATGAGATTTGGTGCATGTTCATCATTGCAATAAAGATCGTTCTGGGGGCCAAAAGCGTGAGCCCGATATGCCCCATAGACAATGCGTGTAATACATGGGCGGAAAACGTACAGGATCTGTATCATGACCGGCGCTAAAAAAAAAAAAAATTCTCTCTCTTTATGTGTCTTTATGGGCCGTATTTGGTATCATTAGAAAGAGAATTTCATGGTTGCTATTGTAAACCACTCTCTTTTTTTCTATGATAATCCTATCGAAACACGTGATGTAAAATAGATTTATAGGACAAAATGGCGTCTTAAATGGCCCCATTGACCAATTTCAAAAATCCGGCCATGAGGTGCCCTGCGTATTGCAACTCGGAATGTCACTGCAAAATTTTAAGGAAAAAAAGTTATTTCCATAACTCTCCTTCCTTTTCCTGTTCCTCTTCTTGCCACCGCTGGGCCGAGGGGCCTTGACTGTTATTTCTCAATTTTCTTGAAAATGGCGAATTTGGAGGGCATTTTTCGCAAAGTCGGTCAGTGTTAGGGTATATAATTTTGTATATGGCTAGAAAGGGCATATCTTCAAGTATCTAAATCCAAAAAAGGGTACGGGTTTGTCAAGCCATAATGGAGATACGGCCACAGAGAGAAAGCCAATTCCCAGAACTTTAGAGGGCGCTTTTTATGTTTTACAAAGCCATTGGAGCGTGAAATTTGGCATGTCTATGGCAAAATTCGCTCGAAGATGTCGTTGACGAAGCTGTTCATGATGATCATGGCCCGACTGGAGATGCCGGAGATGCTGGATTCAGCCGAGAACGCAGGTTCGAAACTGAGTCACGTCTTTCGGATGGTGACGTTAAAAGTCGGTCCCCAGACGTAAATAATCATATCTGATTGATACACGTCTGTAAAAACCCAAATACACACACACACACACGCTATGTGCAATCATGAGATAAAGATACTGTGAGATTTAAATACAAAACGAAATTTATATGAGAAAGTTAGGACAGTTTTAGATTATTTAGGGGTCAATTTTTCAAGAATTTGAGAGATTTTTGACGGAGTCGGTTTCAGATTTGAATTTTGAGTACGAAGATGGCATTTTAAAGGGCAGGTTATTCGTCGCAGATTAAATAACAGCTCTTAGACTATCTAGAGGAATTTGTTAGAAGGTTGTAGGATCTAGGATAGTGGAGATAGGAAGGAAGAAAGAAAGGCCTTAAAATGGACCAGAAACGGACAAAATGGCGCCTGGACGGTTATGCATGAGTGATTTCGAGAATCGAAGAATGTAGTGACCTTGAAGAAATGTTAGAGACTATGCTTATGAAATTTGAAAGGAAAAGAACATGAGGAAAACATCTAACTGGGAATAACAAGCACTATGTGCAAAACGAATGCGATTTCCTGACGATAAGGAAGATAAGGAAAACAAGGAGGAGAATATTAATGCAGGATAGTGGAGATAGGAAGGAAGAAAGAAAGGCCTTAAAATGGACCAGAAACGGACAAAATGGCGCCTGGACGGTTATGCATGAGTGATTTCGAGAATCGAAGAATGTAGTGACCTTGAGGAAATGTTAGAGACTATGCTTATGAAATTTGAAAGGAAAAGAACATGAGGAAAACATCTAACTGGGAATAACAAGCACTATGTGCAAAACGAATGCGATTTCCTGACGATAAGGAAGATAAGGAAAACAAGGAGGAGAATATTAATGCAGAATGGGGCAGAATGTGAACGAAAACAAGGCAATGACGAAGGTCGTCATTGCAAAAAGGAGAATAAATGGGGCAGAATGTGAACGAAAACAAGGCAATGACGAAGGTCGTCATTGCAATTATCAGTTCACACGGATATAGATAGACACAAGCATACGCACGTAGGGAAAGAGAAAGAAGACGACGATAGATAGGACGAGAGAGAGAGAGGGGGGGGGGGGGGAGGGGTCAAGAGTGGGAGTTAGTGGTGATGACTTAACCCTTTGACTGGCCTATATCATAGTAAGTCGTCAATGTAAAGTATGCTTGGAATACTAAAATATTGTCTTTCCTCTTTAAATTCAAAAGAAGTTGAAGGGCTTTTAGGTTTGATATCTTTATCATTTTCATGGTACCTTGATTGTATTAAGATGATTATATAAACAAACGTGACGTAAACTCATATCGATGATATGTGTTCATACATTTAACGTCACGTAACGTGTTAGACAGATTTCTCAAACAAAATATTTTAGTTCAAGCTACGAGGGACTTACATAAAGACTGGTATATTCGTGATCGTAGAACGGAAAGGCGACGGCAATTGATAGCTCGTTTGTCCCGCCGTCAACGGTGGCGGGTAGGAATTCGTCCCCTTCATTTAATCCAAATGGAAAGAGCAGACCTGAAAAGTGGGGAACATAAGGGAAATAGTAAGAACAACTATGTGAATACTTTATATTTTAATTTGAGTAAGGAATTCCTTTGAAATTTAAAAACTTTTAAGGTTTTGCACGCATCGGGCTGAAAAAATACTACGTATCATTTGTTTTGACTGCAGATTGTTCAAAAGTTTGGGTTTTTAAAAATAAGTTGTTTGAAATATCGAAATGTTATATTAAAACTCAAAATAGTAAATGTAAAGCCCCCATCACACCATACTAGTTCTCACTACATTCTCACAAATGTTGCCAAACGGGCTCAAACTGTGTGCGAACGGAGTTGAAAGTAGTAGCAACTGTTTGCGACCTGTTTAATGACTTTATGGATGGGATTGGACTCGACTGATGTCTATAATACGATACTATAGTTCGTTCATTAACAGTCCACAATTCGTCCAACTTGGCTATACCCCACCACAGTCAATTCATATCAAGTTCAGATCGGTTAAATTTGACATTTCCAAACAGTCCAAGCATTCTTATTAGTTCGAAACTTAATCTAACTACTATATCTCGTTCTGAGTACGTTTGATCGCGCTCTTATCGTAGTGTGCAATTCTGTCCTGGTTCGAGCGCTGTAAAAACCTAGCGCGTTCTTGCTAACTGATGCTCGACCACATCACGTTGTTCATGTTCCTAGTACGGCAATTGTGTTAAAGTTTAAATTTAAGTACATTGTCACTCCGTCTAGTTGCAGGACGGGGAAAATTTCGAACAGGCTTAAAGTTCTAGAGCATATCGATTCCTTAAGTCGCTGGTGTGATGATAACGATATGGCTCCTAAACCGGAAAAGTGTCAAGTGTTGCAAGTCTCTTTCCTTCGTCATGCTCCTCCCCCTGTACATTTGTCCATTTGTGATGTGCACTTGCAGTCCTGCTCATCTTTTAAACTTCTTGGTGTTATCGTTCAGGATGATCTTAATTGGAAAGAGCAGGTGAAACGCATGGTTGGAAATGCATCATGTCGCCTCTTCATTCTATGTAAACCAGAGGATCTCTTGTTCATATACTCTATGTACATACGACCTATACTAGAGTATGCAGTACCTGTTTGGGGATCAAGTTTAACCCTGTGCCAGTCTGCTGACATTGAACGACTACAGAAGAGAGCTCTTCGCATGATTTGTTAAACCGACTGACGCTCACTATGGTGACCTTCTTCACCAATTTGACATTTCATCTCTTGATAGCCGACGTGTTGAGATCCTCACGCGATTTGCGAAATCACTTCTGGGTTCCTCAAGGCACCGCCATCTCTTGCAACAACCGCGCCATAATACCTGCCGCAGCTTGAGAAACTATAATCATTTGTCGTTATCACGATGCAGAACTCAGCGCTATAAACAATCGACAGTTCCCTCTCTTGTTCGTTTGCTAAATTAAATCAACTGAAATCTTGTTAGACCTGTTAACAATGTATTGTCATTATTCGAACTCTCTCTCTCTCTCTGTCTTTCTCCTTCTCCCTTTCTCCCTTTCTCTAACTTTTTCTCTCTCTTTCTCCTTTCTCTCCTCCCCTCTCCCGCTATTTCTCTATTTCAGTCATGTATTTCCTCTTCTCAATTTTCTGACAATGTGATAATTACTCATGAACAATGTTCACCTATATATAGGTCATTTACCAATGTTAAACAGTATTATAACAACTCCATAATGGCATTCGTATTGATGTATCATTTGACATTTCCGTATTATGTGCATTTTAACTTTTACAATGCTTCATTAATCTAATTCAACTCAATTATCGGTCATTTGCTTGCATTGTTTTGTCATAAATTGAACTCTTTTTTCCTCTCTTTCTCTCATCCCTCATCTTTCTCTTGTCTTTTGTTCCCCTTTGTTCACTTCTCTCTCTCTCTCTTTCAAATGCTATCTATCTTTATCCTTTCCCCTTCCACTCTTCCACTTGTCACTCTATCTTTCTTCCTTCTTTCTCAATTCACTGACAATTGATTATCACCATGAATTTCTTCAAATATATAATAGACTTATCCTATTGATACTAATATACCATTTTATATTTTACAATCCTTTTCTTTTGTTCGTGATATTTTGTCGTACTTTAAATTATTGATCTACTGTTTTTAATGCATTTTTATATGATTCAATGTAATCCAAATATTGTTAGTCTTTGGAAATGTCATTTGGGTTATTTTTAAAAACCGAAATTGAATTGAATTGAATAGAATTCTTCCCGTCCAAGCCAGTCCGAGCCCGTCTATGAAGTTCTAAAAAAGATCGTAAATAGTTGCTAATACTTTTAATCCGTTCGCACACAGTTTGAGCCCGTCTGGCAACATTTTCCAAAACGTAATGAGAAATAGTTTGGTGTGATGGGGGCTTCACTTAAATGTCTTGATCTGCAAAGCTTGAATGGTTGAAGTTGAACGGGAATAGGGACTTTTAGATTTGCGTGGACTGAAACGTGTGACGTCCATTCAAGACAGTGCATTAAAAGGACGTCGATCGTAGCATAGACCTATTGTCTTGGTGCGAATCTAAAAGTCCCTATTGAGGAACGGCGAGAACGCGCCGAGGGTATATAGCTTCCGAGCCAGGACGGGATTACACACTCGAACGCACTAAGAACGAGATAAGGACGAGTTACACCCTCTCTGAACGGGTTGGTCGGGTTAAAACTAGTTAGAACAAGTGGCGAACTAACTAGAATGGGTTTGGATCGACGTATTGGGAAAGAGGTAGAACTAGTAAATAAAATGGGTTTAAACTGACTACGGACTGGTAAGGACTGCCTGGAAATGGCAAATGTACCCGATCTGAACTTGATATGAACTGACTGTGGACGGTGTACAGACGAGATGGACGAATTGAGAGCTGTTTATGAGCGAACTAGGATCGTATTATAGACATTTATTACACATTCGGCCCCGATCACAACCCGCTTTACGATTTCCTAGGACGGTTCCAGAACGTAGTGTGAACTGGTTTGGTGTGATGGGGGCTTAATTCTTCAAATTGAAATTGAGAATAATACAAATAAGCAATACCTTCAGCATGTATAAAGGAATGGTTCCCGGGAGAAAATGTCTGTACTAGTCTATGGGATTTCTTCTCGGCAACGTTTTCACCGACGACTGAAATAAGCAACAATGTCATAGTACCGTTGCGTTTGCTGGTGTCTTCGTCTACGTGGAAAGCGAACACGAAAGTTGTGATTGTTTGGGTTGTATCTATGTAATTGTGCGCACTTCTTCAAATTTTAGAGGGGTGGGGGGCAATCCCCCTAAAAAAAGGAGGAGGGCAGGCCGTATAACACTTCTAAAACCAATGTTAGTCCCAAATAAATGTTTTGTCAAAGACATGATGTATAAAATAAAAAACCTGTCTAGATATTGTAGTCCTGTTCTTATCTGGTTAATTCGATCTTTCGAAAAAAAAAGATGTAGCAGTTGTAGTTGCTTTAGGACTAAGAGTGGTCTTAGTTGATAGGAATTACACAAAATTATTAAATCATACCTCATTGAAATGGCATCCAAAAATATACAAAATTCATTTTAATAATAAAGTTGTGCTAGTGTGATCGGAAGAAGTCCACTTTAAAGGCCCACTGCACTACTTGTAGCTACTTGCGCCCTCTATATAACAAACCATGCCTAATCGGTGACCATTGGTCCCTCATGGTCCTCTTTTTCTTATGTTAACTGAGAGCTAAGGTGATGAGATAGCCACCTGTCCAGTGACCTTGTAGGGTGGTCTAATCCCTCCTGTAAACTATGGCAGATAAGCTTTAAGAAAAAAAAGTCGAGTTAAGCTACTTGCTCCCTTTATATAGAAAACTTCCCCAATCGGTGCCTGTTGGTCCCCCATGATCCTCTTTTTCTTATGTTAAATGAGAGCTGACTTAATGACATAGTCACCTGTTACAGTGACCTCGCTGGCTCGCTGGGTGGTCTAATCCCTTCTAGCTAAAGTAGTAAAGACTGCCTTTAAAGGAAGGTTCAATTTCGTTCATATGGCATGAGGTGCTGATAGAAATTTAATTTAACAAAATCGTTCATATTGGTTAACTATGGCGTAATGTCGCCCATTCTTCTATTTCTGAATATTCATTATTGTCATATACATATAATTCAAATTCCATGAAAAATTTGTTGCATTTTACCATTTTTTTTTCTTGAAAAGATTGATATGATAATGCATCATTATTACATTTCTCATATGTGCAGAATTCTCTCATAAGTTCCCACTTTGGCTAACATTGACAGTTGGCTTTTTGACCCTTGGTAGATGAAGAATAATGCGAAAAGTCTTTGTGTAGAAGAGCCCGCAAAGAGGACAAATAGAGGTGTTGACATAGGAACTCCTATTTGGTTCTCATGACCACCATACTCATTTCACTTTGAAACTGATAATGACAGTGTTTTTACGGGGTCTACAGGGGAATTCCCTGTATTTCATATTTCAACAGAACATCGTGCCACATTTACACCCAGCACCAGCCTACCCTTTCCCCACGGAGCGACGCCTCTGCATTTAATAGTGATCATTACTTGTTTAAATATATAACAAATATATTTATTTTTTGCGAAAGTGATATTTTTTGTATGTATGGTAACAAAATAAAGTTGGGCTCAAAGTTGTCTTACAAATATTCTCCCCAAATATAGAATGTGACATTAAATTGTAGGAAGGTTAAATTTCCTTTACATGACATCTCATAGAATGGTAAATTGAAGTGATGTTATAAATTATTATAAGACGGGTTCTAGAATCTAAGCAGTCCAATTGGTGACATCACGTGGGCGTTCATTCCTTTACATGACACCTCATAGAATGGTAAATTGAAGTGATGTTATAAATTATTATAAGACGGGTTCTAGAATCTAAGCAGTCCGATTGGTGACATCACGTGGGCGTTCATTAGTTTCTCCCACCGTGCAAAAAAGCTCCCATCAAAAATTGATTACATACGCTCGATACCTGCCGATGTCTCTTTCGCGTA